TTAATTCATTTCAGGGACAGAGTTCTAATGAAGGACCCTCATTCTCCAGCAGGGCTGAATCTGGCCCTCTGAGACTGAGTAAGAAAAGAGGCCTTATGAATGACTGCAAACAGAGGCCTAAACTCCTTCCACATGTTTGGCAGGGAGGGGTGTCCTCAAAGCAGCAGCTCACTGAATCAGCACAGTCAGGCGCAGGGACTTCTGATGAGTCACTTGCTTTCAGTCACTGTGTTCCAGGGAACCTGCCCTTGGTGGGCAGTATTCTGGGGAGAGGGGGGAATCATTGCTCTCATGAAATCAACCTGTGGTTCATTACACAGAGGATGGGTAAGGGGAACTGGGTAATCATGACTCCCCAGCCATGACTTCCTAAAGAACTACCCCTGGCAGCTCATCTCATTTTCTGGGGTCAGGGACCGCCCGTTCACTGGGAGGGGGCCTGGTGTTGTTTATTTCACATCTGGTAAGGCGTTCTTTTGTGGCAACAAGTCAAGGATTCATGGGAAATGCTAATTTGAGAATGAATGGAGGGCTAAATGGATAGACCGGGAAAATTTCTCAAAAAATAATTTGTTCTATACATCTGAGTCTCTTTTTCTGTTTTGCATATAGGGTTATCGTTACCATCTTTCTAAATTCCATATATATGTGTTAGTATACTGTAATGGTCTTTATCTTTCTGGCTTACTGCAATGATGTAAAGTAATTAGCCTCCAACTAATAAAAATAAATGGAAAAAAAATAATAATTTGATGGCGCGCACACCTCCCTTGGTCGGTCCTCTTCTCTCTTCTAACTTGTCCCTCGTCTCCCTACTGGAAATCTGTGGTACTTATGTTCAGAATTACTCCCCTGGATGTTGGTTCTCATGAAAACTTCAAAAAGGGATGCCTAAAATAATTCAGGCTATGTTTTTCTCAGAACTCTTCCAATAAGGCAGTAAGGGGGACTGAGTTCACATCTGGCTGAGAAAAGAGCTAAGAGAAGGCCAGGCAGCCTTGGCAGAGAGAGGCCTCCTGGATGCATTGTGGGTTCTGAACACTCTGTCATTCTGACTCTGGCAGCTCTGGGAAGACTGGCTGCTTTTCTCCCATTAGAGTTAGTACACGGCTGAGGGCTGTCCCAACTCAGAGATGGCCTTGATGCCTTAGGGTCAGACCTGGAACTGCTGCTGTAATTTCCACCTTGCAGCCTTTGTGTCATACACATAGGCTGGAGTCAGTCAGAGGCGGGAGTCATAGAGGTTACTCACGAGCTTACAGTGGCATGTGACTTGCAGAATTTTCGAGTTGAGAAAGGCCTTTGAAGTTAGACAGACTCAGAGCTCTGAGGAAACATGGGGCTTCCAGGAGGCACTTCAAAGATCCCACATATAATCTAGTGTTTTTCAGAGAACAGTGAAAATTTCAATTGTCCAAGAAACTGTATCAACCCATTTGTGTGTTTTATATTGGAATTCTAGGCATAATTTGGAGAAATGAGCTCAGTTGCCTAAAAAACAAAACAAAACTGACCTAGTCCAGGACTTTGCAATTTGCTCTGTATGTATGCGTGTGCTTAGTCGTGTCCGACTCTTCGTGACCCCATGGACTGTAGCCTGCCAGGCTTCTCTGTCCATGGGATTCTCCAAGCAAGGATACTGGAGTGGGTTGCCATTTCCTACTCCAGGGGATCTACCTGACCCAGGGATGAAACCCACTTCTCCTGCATCTCCTGCATTGGCAGGTGGATTCTTTTACCAGTCAGACACCTAGGAAGCCCCATTAAATGACTCATCCAAGACTATGTTGTTAGTGGGTGACTCAGAACCACAATGTACTGATTGTGTGTGTACCTTTTCTGTTAGGTCACTCTGTCCTGAGCTGGATACTGTTGCAGTGTAATTTTTAGAGTTAAAAATATGATTCTTGTACAACTATAAAAATGAAGTGAAAGTGAAAGTTGCTCAGTCGTATCCGTTTCTTTGTGACCCCATGGACTGTAGTCCGCCAGGTTCCTCTATCCATGGAATTCGCCAGACAGGAATACTGGAGTGGGTTACCCCTTCTCCGGGGGATCTTCCTGACCAGGGATAGAATCCAGGTCTCCCACATTGCAGGCAGATTTTTTTTACTATCTGAGCCACCAGGGAAATCCAATAAAATGAACACGTGTCAAAGACTTCATTCAACTCAATGAGAGAACCTGTAAGATGTTGATTAGTCTAAAAGAGAATTCAGGGAAGGGAGTTACAGTCAGTCAATGGAATGCTGAAATCAGTTGCCCAATAGATTCAATATTGGTTAATGTTCTACAAAGCAATAAACCTTAACCTCTGGTGGTTATCTTTGCTACTAGACAGAAACCATTTGCATTGTTGTTGGATAAGAATCATATACATCATTCTCTTTAAGAGTTATATCCATTGTTATCGATTTTCTACAGGTCAACTTCTACTCGTATAGGACTGTAAGATATCCTAATCAATAGAGGTCAAACAAAGGTACACACCCCTAAAGTTATATAACCCCTTAGCCTGGTGAGGCTACTGTGTCACCTTGAAAAGTCACCCAGTACTCCCTTTGCCTGTTTCCACATTTTGGATAATTTCTTTTAACAATTTCGTGTGTGTGTGTGTACGTGCACATTTTCTGTTCCCTCTCCCCGCCACCAGATGTTGAAAGGGAGTTCAGTCACTGTATTATAAAGTGGCCTGAGATACTCAGCTCTGTAAGAAGTTTCAGGGACACTGGGGAAACATCCCAATGATGAGGACGATCTTCCCTCAAATATATTTGCTGGTCTTACCAGCTAAGGAGAAGGGACCACTTCAGAAAATTGGATAAAGGAATTGTCAGGATAATTGAGTCATATCAGGAAGGGGGTCTGGGCTTCCCAGGTGGCACTAGTGGTAAAGAACCCACCTGCCAATTCAGGAGACATAAGAGATTTGGGTTTGATCCCTGGGTCAGGAATCAGGAGGGCATGGCAACCCACTCCAGTATTCTTGCCTAGAGAATCCCATGGACATAGGAGCCAGGAGGGCTACAGTCTATGGGGTCACACAGAGTCGGACATGACTGAAGCAACTTAGCACGCATGCACAGGAAGGGAGTCTCCCTCATTCTATTCTTTGCACAGTTGTTCCTTGGGATCTTCAGGGGATTTATTCCAGGCTCCCTTGACCAAAATCTGAGGATGCTTAAGCCCCTTATAAAAATAGTTTAGTGTTGGCGTGTAACACACATACTCTTGTATTCCATAAATCATCCTATGTTCCTTACCATGTGAATGCTATGTAAATAGTTGTAAATCCAATGTAGATAAATAGTTGCTGCCATGTGGCGAATTCAAGTTTTGCTTGTTGGCGTTTTCTGGATTTTTTTTTTTTCTGTATATATTTTGACCCTTGTTGTTTGAATCTGTGGATGTGGGACCTATGGATATGGAGGGCTGACTGTACTGGAAAAGGCCTTCCTGGGAGCCCTGGAGGAAGAGAAGGTTTACCTGACCGAAGCCAGGAAGGCTAACCTGTGGGGAACATGAATGGGGGTTTCTGTCCAGGTGAATGTCTGTGGTTTACTTCCTGGCTGGACTTCTTATGGAATGCTTTTCATCCCTCTGGTTGTCTCTGCTCCTCCATCAACTTTTTCTGCATCCTTTGACACTTTCAAGACTATTCACAGTCTTCAGTTGAACTGAGACAATTTGGAACCAGTTCTCAGAATTCTGATATAATCAGACTTAAGGGGTCCATGTTATTGGAATCCAGTAGTGATTTACTGAGCATCTACTGCTTTCTAGGCACTGCAAATGTAGTGATAAAAAGTCAAGGTCTCTATGATTAAAATCAGAGATTTCTTCAAAAAAGGAATGTTAGGTTCTCTTCTGGTGTTCCAGAAAGGTTCAACCCATCTCTTTTACATTCTATGTCAATAGCCCTGAGCAAGATTTAACTTTTATAGTGTCATTTTGAATGGCATTTTATAGTGTACCCAATGATTCTCTTTTACCTCACTGAATTCTATGTGCAAATCCTGTGACATAGATATTATCAACTTCGTGGAGGTTCACCAGGTTGACTGAGGTCATGACATGTCTAGTTAGAAAAGCATTCAGAATTCAAATACAGGCTTTCCAACTCCAAAATTCCATGTTCTTCCAGCTTATATCAGTCAACTTTTTCTAGTATTTCTTTAGTTCTCCCTAAAGCATTCTATGCTTGCATCCCAAGATATATATATTGGGAAGCTTGAGAAGATTTCAGAAGATTTGCTTTCCCCTCATGGGCCAGTTGGAACTGCCGTGGCTGTCACCCCCTACCCCCATATTTAGGCTGGGTGTTAATATTAGTTCATCTAGGCTCTGAATTCCCTGTGTAGTGGCTGTGAATAAATCATTAAAGTAATTACCATGGCTCTGGACCTGAGATTTTTATTTGTACAATGTTGGTGTTAAATCAGTTGTTAAAGCCTTTCTTTATTAAATCTAATTTTTGTGTGTGTGTGTGTGTTTTTTAATATTTATTTATTTGGCTGCATCCAGTCTTAGCTGTGGCACCATGAGATCTTCCGTTGTGGTGTGCAGACTCTAGAGGTCTTGGGCTCAGTAGTTGTGGTGTGTGGGCTTAGTTGCCCTGTGGCATGTGAGATCTTAGTTCCCTCACCAGGGATCAAACTCACACCCCCTGCATTGGAAGGCAGATTCTTAACCACTGAACCACCAGGGAAGTCCCAATGAAAGCCTTTCCATCAGTTTTGTTCTGACACTTGCTCCATCACTTGCCATCACCATGGCCTCATCAGTTAAGAGCAGTGATGAGTTTCTCCTGACTTTCCTCATCTCCTTCTCTTTCCCCAGACCATCTATTTTGGGTAAGCGTCTATGGGCTGGTGAAGGTGTACTTGTGTCCATCTGAGAGCTGTAAACTTGGGCATTTGGGAGAGCTGGGCAAGGATAAGGCAGGCCAGTTACTGTGTCAAGCCAAATTGGGCGCTAATACGTCTGTCTTTCTGTTGCAGGGCCCAACATCTGTGCCACACGAGGTGTGAGCTCCTGCCAGCAATGTCTGGCTGTGAATCCCCTGTGTGCCTGGTGTTCAGATGAGGTAAGGAGCAGATATCTGACTTTACTTCTTTCCTGGACTTAGCTGCCTTTGTGTAGAAACAGACCCATGGGGCTATCTCCTCCTCCTAAGTACACAAGCCCTTGTCCCTTCTGAGCAAAACTAGGGAGAAGCCTTCCCACGGATGGATGTTGAAGGGAGCTGTCACGCGCTGTTGCTGGGAGTGCCATCCAGAGTATGTTACCTGGCCCTGGCCTCAGGCAAGTAGGCTGGGCCTCTTGGCCTCCCCTGTGGCTGTTTTACCATACTTTGCTTGTTTTTGTTGGGGTCCAACACCCCCGGGAGGCTGGGCCTCAGGTCACAAAAAGGAAGGCACAAGGGAGTTGTAGGTACAGAGTGGATGCTGGCTTGTGAACATCCAGAATTTTTAAAAGGCAAATGACAGACAGATCTTGCACTTGCATGTGGGGCTGTTTAGTCAGGGGGCCTTTTCTCTCCCTTTCCTGTCTGACACTTGGGCCCCCGTGGCTTTGCCTTATCTCTCTTTCTCTCCTTCCTTCCTTCTCTTGGGAAGGTGTTGATGAGAGAAGGAGCCGGGCCAATTTGGTGAGGCCGGGAGGGTGACAGGAAAGGGTTAGCTGTGTCTAGGCAGTGGGTTTGTTGTGTCTGGGGCCCTGGGGAATGAATGTGTCTGAGGGGATGGTTGTGTTTGTGGCTAAGATGGGAATTTGGAGCTGGCAAGGGCCGGGCGTGAGTGTGGCTGGAGCGAGGCCAGTGATTACAGAGTGCGCGGCTGAGTCTTGGGCCTCGTCCCGGCAGGTGGTCACCTGAACTCCTGGCCTGGCTGGGTGTTGGCCGCCTGAGGTGCCCTCAGGGGACAGCCTGTCCCCGCGCTCCGTGGCTCTGTGAAGTGCTCTAAGCCGAGCCCTGGTTGTCTTTCTCGGCTCCTCTCCCCCATCTGCTGAGTTTCCTAAAAAGGCAACCTCCCTGGCAGGCTGCTGAGGGGAGGGGAGTGGGAGCTGTGAGGCCGTGTTTATCAACGAGAGGGAGGCCTGGACGGCCGAGGCCAGCCCAACACAATGCCTTGGCCTCTGTGCAGTTCAGCACGAGAACGGCTTCCAGAGGCAGCTGCCCAACATCTGGGCCACACTGACTTCATTTAGCAAATGAAACGTTCCCTGGGGCCGGGAGCTGGGGGTGGGGCATTGAATGAGTCCTTCCCCTCCACCCCCGCAGGTTCTCCACCCCTCTGGGCTGAACTGGCCCCTCAAGTGTGATGTGGCCTCTCCCTTCTCATCTGCCATATCCTCCTTCCCTTGATCATCATCATGATATTATTAAGCTTCTTTTACAAGGAAATTGGAATTCTGCGGCTGAATCCTTGAAGAAGGGAGAGCTGGATGGGGAGGGTGCTGGATTGGAGGGCGTCTCGCTGGCTGGAGCAGAAGGGTAGTCAGGGGAGAAGCCCTAGGAACGCTCAAAGGATGCTCCTCCCTCTGCCTTCCCCCCTTTGCAACCCAAAGCAAGACAAAAGGGAGAAACTGTGGTTCAGAAGAATCTGGGGGAAAAGAAAACCATTTTTGGAACGTCTGTCACCTCTCTTAATTGGCATAGGGACAAACAAGGTAATAGATATGCCGAGCCCCCACCAGACAAAGCCCTTAGGTCATGTGACCAGATTTTAGAGAAAAATGTAGAGCATTTAATGGTGGCCATGGTGGATTTTGTCCAATCTGAGGTGGGAGGAGGAAAGAAAGAGGGGAAGAAAGGTGCAGGATAGGATCAAAGCTTAACGTAGGACAAGCCTAGGGATGGTGGGGTGGAGTCAAAGAGAAGAGGTGTGTGTGTGTGCGTGTGTGTGTGCCCAGTCATGTCTGATTCTTTGTGATCCTGTGAACTGTAGACTTCCAGGCTCCTCTGTCCTTGAGATTTTCCAGGCAAGAGTACTGGAGTGGGTGGCCATTTCTTATTCCAGGTGATCTTCCCAACCCAGGGATCGAGCCTGTGTCTCTTGTGTCTCCTGCATTGGCAGGTAGATTCTTTACCACTGTGCCTCTTGGGGTGTATTTCTTTGACCAAAGAAATCTAATCAGAGGAGGTAGATGGTCCAAAAAGATATTTTCTGGGAGGATGGAATTTAAACAGTAAAGTGTTTGTTTGTTTGTTTTGAGTGACAAAGTCAGATTTACTGCTCTGGATTGAATGAATGGAGACAGGACCTAGGGGGCGGAAGGCGGAGACAGGAAGTTGGTGAAGCACCGTTTTGGCCTTCATCAGCATGCTGGGAAAGCTGGGGCTGGGGTGTGGTGTGGAGGCCAAGGGGTTAGTGAATGACTACAACTATCTCTCGCGGAGGGAGGAGGGGAGGTGGGATAGCAGAGGAGGCCAGCATGGGGCAACGTTTGTCAACCAGGGAGAATGGAATCCCGGCCTGTAACCTGGACATGACTGCCATTTTAATTTTTTTCCCTGAGGGCTTCCCCTGCACTGACCAAGTGTAACTGCTGAAAGTGTCTTGGCTGTTGATTTTAAAAACCAAAATGAACCGCCTGGGCCATATTGCCTGTGATTTGTTGAATAATCGACCCTGGAAAACCTTCGGCTTCTGCTTCTCCTACCTTGGCTGTTATAGGCAGGGTTGGCAGTGCCTGCAAAAACAACTGGTTGGGCTGAGCTTTCCCTGGTCCTGCCGGACAGCAGCTCTGGGTGTGGATAGCAAGCACTTGGCTGGGTCTTAGGAAAACATAGCCAATGTGGATGAGTGCAGAATTTTCGGCCCATCTGCATTGGGTGTGTTCTTGGGGGGCTGGATGCTGATATGGGTTGGGGTGGTGTGCTGTCTCTGGACTGTGAATCTAGCAGAGAAGTTGGCCTCACACTGAGATTCAGCTTGTGGTCTTGGCCTCGGTGGCATCATGTAGGGAATTAGAGCTTTCCAAACATGCCTGCTGGTAAGAATCACCTTGGGTGCTGGTTAAATATAAGGATGTCCAGGATGGACCCTGAACCCATTGCATTAGAATGAGTTGTTATTGAATATCAATAACAATAAACTAAAATGCTTTCCTTTTCTGCTCCTTCTTTCTGTTCCCTCCATACCTCTCTCTGTATGTTCAATTTCTTGTCCTCATCAGATGTCAATCAAGAGAACAATTTATTATTGTTAGTTATTGTTAATTTATTTGGAGGCATTTGTTAGCTCTCTGGGAGAGGGGAAAGTCACATGATATATTGTTCCTTGCCCTCCAAGAAAAAAGCATGCAGTAATAGTAGTAGTGGGGATTTTTCTGGTGGTCCAGTGGCTAAGATACCATGCTCCCAATCCTGGGGACCTGGGTTTGATCCTTGGTCAGGAAACTAGATCCCACATGCTGCAACTACAGATCTCACATGCCGCAAGGAAGTTTGGAGATCCCATTTGCTGCAACTCTGACCCGGCACAGCCAAATCAGTAAATATTTACAAAATAGTTAAAATGACAACAGTAGAAAAGAGTTACCTATTTGAATTTATTGTTTCTGTGTGCTAAGTTGCTTTAGTTGTGCCCAACTCTGTGGACTGATGCTGAAGCTGAAGCTTCAACATTTTGGCCACCTGATGGGAAGAACTGACTCGATTGGAAAAGACCCTGATGCTGGGAAAGATTGAAGGCAGGGAGAGAAGGGGACAACAGAAGATGACATGGTTGGATGGTATCACCGGCTCAATGGACATGAGTTTGAGCAAGCTCTGGGAGTTGGTGATGGATAGGGGAGGCAGGTGTGCTGCAGTCCATGGGGTCACAAAGAGTCGGACATGACTGAGTGACTGAACTGAAATGAAGTGTGCAACCCTGTGGACTGTAGCCTGCCAGGCTCCTCTGTCCAAGGGATTCTCCAGGCAAGAATATTGAAGTGGGTTGCCATGCCCTCCTGCAGGGGATCTTCCTGACCCATGGATTGAACTGGAGTCTCTTCCATCTCCTGCGTTGGCAGCCCAGTTCTTTACCACTAGCACCACCTGGAAAGTCCTTGTTTATATCAAATCAAAATGACTTGAGTATATAGGACTTACACTGAGATTTTTACATCTTGAAAGTGTTTCCTGTTCACAGTTTTATTTTTTCCCCGACCAGCCCTGTGAAATAAGTAGAATAATGACAGTTATTCACACTGTGCTCCCCCAGTTTCTAAAATGGGATTAATGGAGAATGGGACTAACAGCATGTGTCATTCTCCCAGGAGAGGGTGGGAATTCAGCTCACACAGAACGTGGGCTGGAGCCTCCCACCTCTGTGCTCCAACCCTTTCCCTGGGTCTGGGTTATTTTTGCCCTTTTTGTGTAACATCTGGTTTCACTAGGAACTGGAACTTGACTGCTCCTCTCTGCCTCCTTCCAGCTTTCTCTCTGAGTCACCTGCACGCATTCCTGCTACCTGCTCAGCCTGGGTGATTAGGACAGGGAATGGAGCCCAAGTGTGCTGAGGACACTGCCTTGGTGTGCTTCTGGGACAGCAAGCTCTCAGGGAGAGGGCAGCCAAGGAACAGCCCTGTTAGGTTCCTGACCTCTGATGTCAGCGACCACGGAGGGAGGGGAGGAGACAGTTTTTGTTTCTTAGTGTTTAGATTTCTAAGGAAATTCATAACAAACCATAAGCACTGTCAGCAAGGCTTAGGACTTCAAACTTTCTTCTACTAAACACTTCCTCGTTAGAAAATGGGGGTCAGGAAACCCCCTCCAAAACATTCTCTCCCTTTACGATGCAGCTTGAAGATACCCGACAGCCTTGCAGTTCTCATTGCTTCCTGGGCTCTCCCTTCCCCCTCTCTCTTTCAGCATCTGTCTTAGTCCTGGAAAGGATCAGCAACAGGGCATCTTGGTCCATCCAGTCATTGCCTTTTTTGGAAGGTTTTCTGCCTGGGGCTTTGTGGGCAGCTGGAATCAGAGGTACAGTAGGGAGTTTTGTGAGCAAGAAAGAGACTGCTTCCTGAGAGAGAAGGGTTGGGAGAGATGGGCAGGAGCGGGAAGAATTAGAACACAAAAATGCTGAATGCTCATGAGTT